CACGATGCCGAGAACGAGTTCATCGGCATGAGCGCCGAGGATCGCGAGAAGCACCGCAAGTTCGAGCAGCTGCGGAAGAAGCACTACGAGATGAAGGACGTCGCCAAGTTCCTCGGTCACCCCGAGTCTCTCGAAGAGCTCGAGGAGGACGACGAGGTTCCCCCGGTGCCGATAGTTAACGGTGCTAAGGTTAAGGCTGGCGACTAGGGGCAACGGCTAGATAACCTCCCCATACGCGGGTCCTCCAGGGGCTTGAACGCATAACGAATAGGGACAAGAACAAAGTGTAGATCAGCAACAACGACGACGACATGCATGCTAGGTGGAGTTTTCAGGCTTAGGCGTCCCTCCCTTTTCTTTTTTTTTTCTTCTTCTGTCATTTCACGCAACCGATACAGGCATACGAAAACCCAAAGTTGGACGAACGTTCGCTTTCCTCATCGTCCGTGGGAGGTGACCAAAAATGGGATTGCATCTGGTTATACTATATATACGAAAGAACAGCTCATGGGGTTGTTCTGCGAGCATTCCTCTTTCCCCCTCAATGAAATCGGTTGTATGATATGAACCCCTTCTATTGTCTATTTTCTGTTGGGGGCCTTTTTTTGTTTTGCCGTGAGCCTCGCTAGGAGTAGGCGACAGGTCACACGGGATCGCGGTACGGTACGGAGTCTTGATCCACCTCAATAGATACCTCATCTACCATCTACCACACATTTCCATCGTGATGGCCAGTGATCACCTCTGCTCGATGCCCGTGGTATTTATTGATGATTTTCCTACGTGATAGAATTATGTAGTCTCGGTCCCCAACCTCACTACACCGGTATATATTGATATAGGTAGCAAGTTCATAGCATGCCCTTGCGTGCGAGCTCGACCTTCCGTGCTGCTTCGCCCGCCTTGAACCCGCCCTTCGAGACGCATATCCGCGAGCCGTCGCCCATCTCGAATTTATCCTCGTTCGAAGGCCAGGGGCACGGGCAATGGTGGGGGAAATGCACGCAAGCTGCAGACATTCTCGGTCAATACAGGCTCTAGCTTGCTAAGATTGACGGCTTCCGAGATAAAAAGTATCCCTTACCTAGGGTGTCAGGGCAGAGGTAGTTGTCGCAGTGCATGCGGTCGAAGTTGCTACGGTAGATGGCCGAGTCGCTCGGCACGTTCTGCGGCCTCTGCTGCTCCTGGTGAGCGTGACCGCCACCGCTACCGCCGAACATCTGCTCGAAGAAGCCGAACTGGGCGGAGGCGATGGAGGAGAAGAGGAAGGTCAGAAGTAGGATTGGGAGATGCATTGTTGCTTCGCGAACAGAGACGCGCAGGGAAACAAAGGGCAGGCTCTCTAGAACAGACTGAGGGCAGGTAGGTAGCTAACTAGCTATAAAATCGTGTAAGATACGATTGTCTATCTCGTATATATGCGATCGCAGGCACACTAAACGGGTTGTTTTCACGGAGACGAGTTGGGTTGGTTGCTTGCTTTGGATGCGCATTGCTGTCAAGTTTAATAAATGCATGTCATTCTGTCAAACGGATGGGTCAATTCCTTATCGTTATCGCTCCTGGCAATGGATGACTAAGCCGGAAATTTTGAGATGGGTACGGGAGCTCCTCAGTACATATTGAATTGGATTGGGTTGAATTGACGATAGCTCTAAATTCACCCAATCCACCACCCACACTTTCTCTCCCGGATAGAAATTCCCGCTGCCGGAGACGTCAACGACGGCAACGACGACGGCCCACGATAATTGCAGGCATGCGGATCGCTCAATTGCGGCGGCCGCTCGTGGCGGCCGCTTCTGCTTCTACATCCGGCATCTCGAGAGGGGCAACATCTATAACCACCGCGACTTCAAGACAATTGCAGGATGTGTTCGGTCGGCTGAGGATAGGAGGCAGTAATGTTTTGGTTGAGGGTCGGAGACATGCCTCGGTCAAGTCTCAGGGAATGTACAAACTGCGGGACTCGAGCACGATTCCGAAGAAACTAGGAGCAAAGAAGTCTGGCGGTACGTCTACGTCTACGTCTACATCTGCGTCTCCGTTGATGCTACGCCTATGATCCCCAAACCGATAAGGACGGTATGTGGGCAGCGGCAGACTAATAAATGGGGATGATGGAGAGGGATACAATAAGAAATTAAGGCTGATGGAATTTATGGCATGCAGACTCCTACGTGATCACGGGTAACATCATCTACAAGCAGCGCGGCACCGTATGGCATCCCGGCGAGAACTGCGGCGTAGGCCGCGACCATACCATCTTCGCCCTCGCCTCGGGCTACGTCAAGTACTACCGGGACACAGCCAAGCACCCGAAGCGGCAATACATCGGCGTCGTCTTCAACAAGACCGACACACTACCCTACCCTCGCCACGCGATGCGCAAGCGCAAGCTCAACATGATTGCCGTCCCCATGACGCCCCCGCAACCGGTGTCGGAGCTCTCCGCCTCGGGCATCCCCAACCAGGTCGTACGGCAGGGCTTCGGCCGGCGCCCGCACCCGCGCGACGAGCGTATCATCAAGCTCCAGAAGGACGGTAGCTACGCGTACCGCGAGGAGAACTGGCGGCTCGGCACGCTCGTGCGCACGGAGAAGCGCAAGCTCGGGTCCCGGAGAGTGGCGATGCGGCAGCGCCGCAGAAAGGCCAAGGCGATCGCCCTCGAAATGCGCACCGAACGCGAGGACAAGATCGCCCGGCGCAAGGAGGCGCTCGACGCGCAGCGCACGTCCAGGATGCGCAAGATGCGAGATTATAGGGCCCGGCTGGCGGCCGCAAAGGAGAAGGAGAAGGAGGCCGGTACGAATGCGAATCTGGATCCGGCCGGAGGGGAAATGCCGCCGCCGAAACCGGATCCGCCAGTGGCTGAGTAGGGTTTTGGATGAAGGGGGCAATGGTATGTGTGTGGAGGTCATGGATGTGAGGTCTAAGCAGGTGGGTTGAGCCAGAATTTCAGGAGCCGGTGATGATACCGTCCAGCTTAGGATAGTGGCCACTAGTCGACTGAGTATTCGTAAATGCTTGCTTGCCAAATAGATGGGAGGACATCTAGTGTTGACTAGGTCAGGTCAGGTACTTAATATCCCTCTCGGTAACGTCATAGCAGCGGATTGAGTACACCGTGTAAAAACAAATAAAGTAAGATGTACAACACTGAGTGAACGAACCAGCCGTGTAAACGAGACGTCAAAATTGAATCTCTAGTCATGATGGCTATTTGTGCTCTAGTTAGGGGGTAAAGTTGAGTTTGGGGAGGCTTGCCAGAGATCGGTTTCTAGCCTAAAGGGGGCAGTTAGATCTTTGTGTTTTTGCCAAATTTGACTTGACGAGGGGTATGTGTTCATGTAATAAATTGCCAGAGCCTGGTCAGCTACAGGAATTTTCATACGACACTCGAGGTTGTCTCAGGAAGGGGAATAGGGGCTAAAAATCATGAAGCTAGGTATTTACTATTTTCATCTACCTAGGTAGATATCAAAAGTTCAGTTTCATATGTAGGTAGGTACCTAGGGCAGTGGTCGGTTAGGGGAAACCAAGTACCTAAGGTATATATATCCGAGGCGATGTGAGGACCTGTGAGAAAAAGTAGACGTGCTGTAGAGGAGAGGTACATAGCCAACACTTAGATACTCTCTGTACCTATAGGAAATTATTGGGTGGCGTTGCCTATATTTCCATCCATGCTGATATGTTGATTAGTATTCATCATATGTGTTATTTAATGGCATATCGCGGACTATATAAGGGCTAATTGCCAGAAGGGCAATAGCGTTCGCTTTTGTCACATAGCATATGCCAAGTTTGTTGTTCGTACTACTCATACCTCGACGGGTATGCTATCGTAAGGCATATAGGCATTACTCCTAGCGAGTGTTAAATTAAAAATAGCCATCTAGGAAATGTATTATTGGTAGCGAGTAAGAAAGGAGACGATATGCCTCATCTCTCGGGAGTCTGGGCCAATTTTACACTGTATCACCACATTTCACATAACTCAAGACAGTATACTATGCATATACTCTACTTTCTTATCGAATCTGTCAACGCATTTGAGTCTTTCTCCTTGTACGGAGAGAGGCTCTGAAGTAGACTACACTGCTTTTCTACATTATCACCTATGATAAGAATGTTTGGATTACTTGGGGAATAAGTCAGGGAAAATACGTTGTTGGTGTTGCTTGAGAGAATCGACGAGATATTCTTTCTGCTCTCTTTCATATGATGAGGGATTACACAAAGTGGTTATAGTCCTCAGGCGCGGAATACTCCTCGTTTACTTCCAGGACTTTATATATACAAGTCGTATTACCATCACCATTCGTAATAGTCAGTGACATATGGAAAACATGCCTGCCTTCTTATTTATAGGCGCTAGGATATTAGTCTCTTTATCAATGCCCCCTTTGCTAGCTCGTTTACATGCTGGGTATAAGCCAGCTATCAATTATATTTGCGCACATCGTCACATCGTTACATCGCTATACACTGTTAGGTTAGAGGAAGGACACAGAGTGAGAGAAAAAGTAGTCTATTTGATATAGGACGTATAGGAGGGGGTAGAAAAAAGTTTGAAGGCTGCCCTTCCTCTTTATGGGGGATTTATGAGGCTCTATATACATCTATATGGTGACGACCCGGAGAGCCAATGTTTGCTGTGCATCTGAAGAGCAAAGAAAACAAAGGGAGACGTTGTGGTGGAACTGTGTTTTGTTCACATTTTGTCTGCGTGTGGATGAAGTTTGCATGCCCTACCTGAGTCTAAGGGTATTGAAGATGACGGGAAGATTATATTATGTAAACGCTAAGACTAGTAAGACCCACTTAGTGTGAGGCTTTTAGAGCGGCGAGCAGTTTCTGCACGGGCATGGGTCCACATTTAGCGCAGCAAGCACGATGACGATTTACAAGTACACACTAAGCCGCGTACCCACATATGTACAGAGATTTCCACCAATATGTACTCCAATAAAAACTGCCTCCAACACCCGAGCACTGGTGGGATGACCGAGTTGGTTATGGTGTATGGTTAAGGTTGAGCTTAACATCTTCAATTCCATATGGAGAAATCCGCGTGGGTTCGAATCCCACTCCCATCAAAGGATCTTCTTTTTCGCTTCCATTGTCTCTTCTCCATCGCGGACGAGAAGGGAACGAGGTGTGTTATTTTTTATTATGTTTTATACGCCGCATAGTTTGGCTCACGTGGGCATCCTATTTACCTACTGTTAGGCTTGTGAAGGAGACAACCGATCTACAGCTGGTAACAGGCGGCAATGGTCACATGCATACGTGATAAATTCACGAGCTCAAGGTTATGTTCGTGTGAACTTAGGGTGGTGAGAGAAAGTCAAGACTTGAACTTTATACTCTGTTGACTAGATATTTTTGACCACTCAGAATTCGAGCTCTGTAGTTGTTATCGGCTGGGCAGTAGAACCGACGCGTTGAGGTCTGTCAAAGATCCTGAAGCACCAGAACGACTAAACAGTATAATGAAATATTTTCTGCATAGTTATGAAAGAGCCTTGAAGCTTTCAAGAGTCACCATTGTTAAGGGGCGGGAACGAGTATTCGTGCGATCGGGCAAATTGCTCGGGGCAATATAGACATGCAGAAGGTTACTGTTGATTGCATACCGATTTCTGTGGATGGATTTGTCCCGGAATTGAATTATGAGTGTTAAGCATAACCTAGTCACTTTCATGCCTTATACCCACTTCCAGGACTAATAGCTGTGCTAGCCTATAGATCTTCTGATCTGACATAGAAATACGAATCAACCTCTGCCCAAGTTTTCGATCGTAACTTCGTGGATGGCACAGGGTGCCTTAGGAGGGTGAAGAAAAGGAGCAATAACTTGCGCGACAACCTGATAGTCCACAATATTGATAAAAAGCACCAGCCTGGGTGCTTCAATGCTGTACAACATGTTAGTCACATATCTTATGGCAAAGCAGCTGGCTTTGCAACCCCCTCTTCGTAGAGAATGGTCTAGTCATAGAGCTCGTTTGCTAAGTGCAGACCGTCAGTCCAAACTGTCTCAAAAAGAGGCAAAGGAGTACACGGGATACGCATATCCTCGCCCAAGATCATACGAAACATACCGACAGCACATTTTCTCCCCGTTTCTGAGCTGTCGCCAATCTTATGTATCCATAGTTTTGAATATATCGACGACGTTGATGCTACAGGTGTGTACTAGGTACGTAAGTATATATCAATATATGTGGAAGAGAAGCCGTCCTATAGTAGAGAATTCAGCGCAATAATTAGCAGTCTCCTTGGCCAGTTACATGTGATCCACATGAATCATTACGTTCACCTGCACAGATCAGATATAAGTCGCTGTCAAAACACGTTCGTTTGATATCTGATATCAGCGTATGCTCTGTACATTCGCGATGTTGTGCGCTGGCTTCATAACCATTACCTAGGTAGCCGAGCCCCACCGACCCTTTTTTCTACCGAGGCACATTATTTAGAGTGGAATGAAAGTCTCCAATGGAAGCCTTTTCTAGTAAGGGCTTTTCGAAGTGTAGTACGCAATTGTGTGGGCATAGCTCCCTCACGACATCTCCAATGTTAGGTGTTAGGATGTGGGGGTGGTCAATGCACCCAGGGTTTAAATGCAATTTTTTAGTAGCTACACCAGATGCTCTGGACCATCAGAATTACAACTACGTTCGTTTTCTTTTGGTTTGCTTCATCCACTACATCAAGGACTTTCCCGACTGCGGGGTACTTGGTGGATGAGCCAAGAAAACTCATTGCAAAGGACCGTATAATCTCCACTTATTAAGGTTGAAGCCTCGGTTATCAGTGGATCCAATCCCTACGGCTGGGATTGTGGGGTACGAACCCCCAATAGACTACGAGATATAGACTATCCAGTTCAAGACCCGGATAAGGACTTAGGTAACTAGGTATTAATAGGAGGTAGGTAAGTAATACAATACTTTCAGACTGAAAAATCACTAATCAACTTCATTCTTAACATTGATATGAATATCTATCTACAGTCACAACTAGACAGAAAGCCTACGAACAAGTGAAACATAGTTCAATTCTATACCACTTCTCACAGATATCAAAGAATAGAACAATGGAAAATACCGCTAATCCTACACATTCCTCTGCTGCCACTGGATTTTTCCAAGTCTTACCCAAGATCGAGCCACAATTCACCTCACCGAGTTTGGCCTCGGATTCTCGAAGTGTATCCGATGACGCAGTTCTTGCCCGTATCCTACAACAGTATTTACCTCCCCAGGGCCAACGTGATGTAGGATTAGCAATCCACAATTTATCTCGACGAGTACTTCATCCTTCGACACTTCGCTACGCCGTCGAGGCGGAGACGAACATCCCAACACTCCAGCCATTCACAACATTCGGCAAGGAGAATCGCGATGACCCTCTCCGGACATGCGAGGGATGGAAGGCTCTCAAGGCAATGGGTATCGAAGAAGGAGTTGTAGCTCGCGCATATGACCAAAGTAAGACGACCCATAATCGAAGGATAGAACAATTTGGGCTTGCACATGTTTGGTCCCACACGTCTACTTTAACCATGTGCCCCATGTCTATGACCGACGGCGTGGCGACATTACTCCTTCGGCATATGCGGAACGCAGATAACGACCAACCAGGTCGCTCAGCCGTCATAGCCGAGTCATATCGTAGGCTCGTCTCTCTTGACCCGCGTGAGGCGTGGACCAGCGGGCAGTGGATGACTGAGAGAACTGGGGGAAGCGACGTAAGCGGAACAGAGACTATCGCACAGAGATTGACCACAGAAGAGCTGGCTTCGGACATATCAAGTGCATATAGTCAAGATGCCGTCGGCCTACCTTTGGGTCCATGGCGTATTGATGGCTTTAAGTGGTTTAGCAGCGCTACTGATTCAGATATGACTGTGCTCTTGGCCAAGACTCCGAAAGGCCTCGACGCTTTTATATCCCATTGCGTCGGAGAGCTCCGAGAAACACTGTAAAGCTCGATAGTGAGAATGAAATACAGACGGAACTTAACGGGATTAGTGTCCAAAGATTAAAGAACAAGCTGGGAACTCGAGGTCTCCCTACGGCAGAACTTGAGATTAAGGGTGCTCGTGGTTGGCTGATAGGTGAGGAGGGTAAAGGAATCAAGGAGATCTCTGCTATCCTCAACATCACGAGGATCCATACTTCTACTAGTAGCGCATCATACTGGGCTCGCGGCCTATCCATCTGCCGGGCGTACTCAAAGGTGCGCAAGGTGCGGGGCCGCTTTTTATACGAAAACTCACAGCACATGTTCTGGATGGCAAGGGAGACAGTCAAATACTGGGCAGCGACGCACTTCGTCTTTTTCGGCGTTGCTCTACTTGGCTGTAGTGAACAGGGATGGGGACCTGCAGCGCAAAACACTGCCGCCGAAGCGTTGATCCCGCGTGACCGCGGTATGAGAGAAGCGCTACTACGCTTACTTACACCAGTAATAAAGGCCCAAGTGAGCATGGGTGCTGTCAGCGGACTCCGGGAATCAATGGAATGTTTGGGCGGCGTTGGCTACTGCGGGAACCACGAGGACGGCGGAATCCTGAACCTAGCCAAGATATTTCGGGACTCCGTCGTGAACACCATCTGGGAGGGTACAGTCAGTGTAATGGCCGAGGATGTTAGGAGAGTGTTGAGGGATAGACGAATTGGAGACGGTAATACGATCGAGACCGTCTTCGGGACGTGGATCCAATATGTCCTTCAACTTTGTCGGGAACAATTTACAGACGAATGCGACATTGTTCAGAAAAGGCTACAAGCGCTGATTGCCATTGTCAAAAGAAAAGATGAACCCGAACTTGAGTACCGAGGCAGGGATATCTTGGAGCACCTGGAAGCAATTACTAGCGCGACACTCCTACTATATAATGCTTGTATAGACGGAAACCAAGTCGCGTGCTACATTGCTTCGCGCTACACAAAGTCTAAAGCTCTCTCGCACATCCAGGACCAACCGAAGAGGTCAGATTGGAAGCGTGAAGCTGAGATAGACCGCTTAATATTTCTCGGAGAGGACTTTCGCCCCACTACAGATCCGCAACAAAAGTTATAAGAAAGCCGTGGGAAGTCACCATGGCTACCTTCTAGATATACAAGCGTCTGATATTTTACGAGTTGACTTGTACTTGATCTTGATTTGAATATGGGTCCATTTGTGAGGAACGGGAGAGGAATTGGTTGAGGAATATCTCTAGGAGTCAGTCAATGGATGGTTGTATATACGAGACTAGTCCGTGGCACCATAGCCATTCAGGGATACAGACTGTCCCTCGCCATTGCAATAGGACACGATGAGTAGATACTATTTCTGATAGCGTACAAGCCGGTAGATATAATCCCCATTGTATTGCAAGTGGCTCCATGCTAGGGTTCATCAAATATTGCAAGCGTGAGGTAGTAGTTCCACTACAACGTATACCTTTCGACTATAGCACTTGATCAAAGTCACTGTAGTTAGATGGAGGCAGGCAGCATCCATCTATTCAAATAGGTCTTGGAATGGCCTCACACTCCCAATATATTGTTCAATTATTTTCCTTATACACCTGACGCTCTAGCATTCATCGACACAAGTTTGAGGGAATGTCGATGGTCCAAGTTTTGTAAATGAGTTACATTATAGCAGAAAACGGAAGTCCCTAAAAGTTATCCAAAACCCACGTTATGAGAATGTGTGGGAACTTTCACTTGAATACCTATTATCTAAACTGGTTAAGGAGTCAACCAAACTTCATGCTGTTTGACTTGAGTTAATATTGTTTCCCGAGGCTTTAGTCTATCCGTCAAAGTGGTGAATCAGGAGCACCCGATTGATCTGCAGCTCTGAATTTTACTGTGCTCATAAATAAAAAGAATTTTGCAGAGTTTAGCTATTCTTCACGAGGCTGTGAAATTCCTCTTAACGTTATATCCTCCTACCCGAGCAAAGAGACAAAGATAATAATAAATCCATCTTCACTTCAAAGCAAGTCTAAATAATTTATAGTAAACTAAGCCTAAGTTCTTAGTAAAGGTATAAACTGTGAATATATATTGTTGTTATTAGAAAATTCTTG